CCGGGCGAGCCATGACGAGGGCCGCTAGTGCCTGCCGAGGTTCCCGCGGGGTGCGGACACGGGTCCCCCGCCGCGGGCCGCACAGCCGCTCAGAAGCGGATCGACTTGCTTAGGTAGTTTTTCTTTTCGTCGGTTCTTTCAGCACCCGGCTGCCGTGTGCCTGACCGAGGCACAGGCTGTGCTGGTGTCTAAGGCAGAAGCAGTTACCTCAAGTTCTTACGCTGCTTTCCACAGAGTAGTGAACAGCAGCTGTGGAACCTGCTACTGCTCGTAACGGTCAGAGGGAAGTGAGGCTGGATTTACCCTCCATTACTAAAGCAGCTATGATATGGTTGGTGTTCTGAATCCTGCCTCACGAAACAAGATTTTTGGTTCTTATGTTGTATAGCAAATACCTAGGATTGCCTTCTTTTTGAAGAGAGCAATGTCAAATAGTTTTATCAAAAGACCTTTGGCATTCTTTAATTTCTGTCGTTCAAGGACTCAGTATATTGAGTCTGAAAGAGTCCACGTTGTCTTTAGAAGTGTGAGTTAAAAACTTCTAGGAAGGCCTTGAAGAAAAAATATTTTCCTCTTATACTCAACTTGCTGATCTTTTGCAAGTGTTGAGCTTGTTTTGTTTACTGATTGAGAAATTATAATCTGTATTCAAAACATCTTTGCTTATGGTGCCTTTTATTCTGAAATTGTTCTGCTTTTCTTTTTTGTGAACCGAAATAGGACCTCTGTCTTTCTAACGTGAAGATTTCAAACGGGGAATTTAAAGGGAACCTCCCATCTAAATTCCAGGATTGCATTTCTTGTGCAATTTTTCTTCCTATAATCTGTTACCTCTAATAAATGTGGATTAATATATAGCTATTCTGCAGAAGCAAGCTGTTTTCTGCAAACACTGTAATCATTCTTCCTTTTGTGGTTACAATTGAATTATCTCAGGACAGTAGGTATATGATATTTGTTTATATGGGTATTAATAGCTGAGTTCTGCTCCTCATGCTGATGGGGTTAATATTTAAAACACAATGTATCTCCTATCAAATAGGTTTTGCTTTTCAATGGCTTACAAAAGTCCCATCATTCTAATGTATAGATACATGCTTTGGATGGCAGCTTCTTCCCATTGTTGGTTTTTGGATTGTGTATGTTCTGTTACATATCATGTTTGTTCTTTGCAATTCTTTGTGTAGGAAACTTTCATGTAGGAGGTCTCTCAGTAGCTGTTGCAGCTTTTCTCCTGCTGCTATAATAAGATTAAGGATTTTTTTTAAAAAAAAAAAAAAAAAAACAAGAAAACCCTGACGCAACCCAAAACCCTCTAAATGTTGCTGGGGTTGTCTCCTGTGCTAGGCTTGCTGTACAGATTATTTTCTCAAGACCTCTTCTGAAGCACAGTGACTACTCCTTATAAACAATCCTTAATTTATGTGGCTTTCATTATCTGCTCTATTTGTATTACTAGTCTCCTACTGCTAGAGGAGCAGTTAGCTGGTGCCCTGCATGCAGTTTACAACTGTGATAAGTGTTGTGTGCTCGTTTTAATAGCTGGATCAAGATACTGTAAATAGTTTATATTGACTTTGGTTTGTTTGTGCTGTTGACCTTCTGTCAGTCTGATAGCCAGTGACATAAGGGACTGTGCAGTATTCACGTTTGCATTGCTCACTAGCTTGATGGCCTCTGACTGATCAGCAGATGTTGTTAGGAATATTTAGAATCTGTAATTATGGGGCAAACTGTAAAGAAGGCTTACTTCCCAGCATAGCAGGAAGGTCTGGCCTTCTGTGCTTGTGCATGCAATGTCTCTTGGAGGCACTCTGAGGATTAAGGATGCAGTTGGGTGTTCTCTGCATAGAGTTTAGCTCTTGTTATCTCATTTTGGTAGCACCCATGAAGACTATTGTGGTAGAGTAAGGAAGTACCTAATTAGTTTTGATCAGGACACTAGTCCAAAAGGCCTTTGCCTAAAGGTGTAAGTCTGCTGAGCTTGAAAGAGGAGACAGATCCCAGAATAAGGAGGCAGTATCTTACTTGGTATTTGACTTAAAGCCAGATGTGATACAGCAAGATTTTTGCTGAAAGCCAAAGTGCAAGTATCTATGGTATGTTCATTGTTGGACACAGCAAGTGTTTTCCTAGGTGCCTTGTCCCTTGCTGTATTGGAACTGACCACTGAAACCTCAAAGACCATTGACTTTTTCTAATCCCCTGCGTTTTTGCTGTAACTTTGTGCACAGATGTCTTAGAGCATACCTGCTATATTGTGTCAAGTGCTTATGTTTCATGGAGAACTGTTTGAATCTCCTCCTTTGGGAGAAGTATGATGGGAGTAGAAGCCACAACTGCTTGTTGCTCTGTTGAATGGAACTTGAGTTGTGCAGCTTCATAGGGAAAAGAGGGCTGTAGTGCAGCTAGGCGTTTGCTTGAAATGACACTTTGCTCTATATCTACAATTGTTGAATAACAAGTTTATTCTGGCCCTGTTGTAAACTACTAATCGTTCTGCTCTTCTCACCTACAGGTTGTGACTGTTTCTCCTCTGTCATTTGTGTGGAAAGTGCCACACACACTCCAGAACAACAACGGCTTTTGCTTGCATATTCCAGTGTTTCTTTTGTCAGCGAGTTCAGCAAAGTTGTAATTCTTCAAGTGCCAGCCCTGAGCTGAGTGAGGAGCCACCAGCAGAGATGGTAAAAATGACAAAATCAAAAACGTTCCAGGCTTACCTGCCAAACTGTCATCGAACCTACAGCTGTATCCACTGCAGAGCCCATCTAGCCAATCATGATGAATTGATCTCCAAGGCAAGTGGTTTGTTTAGAGACCTCATGAATTATTTCTTAACCAAAATGGTTATTGCTGTATCACGGCTCCCAGTAGATAAGGGATGCAAATTGATGCACACTTCAAAGTGTCTTCCTTGGGTTCACTCTTGGGTCATACCTGTTGTGTACTGAGGACTGGATATATTCTGGGAACTTTTGAATGTGACATAAAAAGTGATCTGATACATTCCTCATTAACAGCCTCTCTCTGTCAAGTAGATATTAGGTGTGAGCTGTCCTGTCTGAAAGTCTGATGGAAAAAACATGGATCTCTGGGTAGAGAAATGATTCTGGTTATGGTTATTCCAGATAAAGATTATTTTTCACTATTTTGACTGAAGCACAAAACTGACTGTTTCCAGAAATTTGCACTTCTATTATGGAATCTGTAACAAACGTATTTACTTCTGCTGTATACTAGTTCCTAAGGAATATCATTAGCCAGAGATGTAAAAAATGGTTTGACTATCTAAAATTAAGCTTAGAGGATGTGTGGATACCTGAAACACTAGGCCTGTCCTGCTTATGTTGCTAGAAGAAACCCAAGATTTGTGATGTAGGAGAGCTTGAAATTCGGGATAAATACTTGACAGGCTTGTTGATGCTTTGTTTGAGTAAGCTCATGATGAATTTTTTCTCTTAATGGTGTCCTGGAGAAAACGCTTCAATTGCTTTTCAAATGTCTTAATAATGTAAATTGCTTTCTATACAACTTATTTTTTCAAAATTTTCAGTGGCAAACCATTTATAACTAACTTAATCTGTTGCTCCTGCCTGTTTGTGTGCTCAGCAGCACTAAGGTGCTGCTGCTCTTGAGTGCTGAAGAGATAAGGAGGTGCTGAGAATGCTGCTACTTCAGAATTGGAGGTTTCCTTTGGATGAGGAGAAAGTATATCTGCTTCTTTTCCCTTAGTAGGTTATCAGGAAATAATGGGTTTTCCCCATACAGTTTTTGTTGCTACTAATACTTCTGATCTTTGTTTAGATGTCAAGACAACTTTTTGATTCAAATAGTAAAATTGGTGACAGTTCTTCTGCGGTGTTGCTTGTTGCTTACTTTTGCTATGCCTTTAGTCTCTTCCCCATAACAGTTCTTCCCCTTGACTTGGTACATGTGCTGGGGTGTGGAGCTGCAAATGTGGTACATCAGATGTGAAACACTGAGCTAGCTGCATACATCAAATGTGAAGAAATTAAGAGGGAGGACTTGTTTTACTGGTATTAACTTGAAACAAAATACTTTCTTTATAGTGACTTATCTTATTTTAAGGTCAGCAAAACCAAAAGAAATATTCAAATAGTTATGTGAATGCATTTGAATTTCATTTGTTTCCATGTTGATCTCAGAATTAGAGTAAGTGGTCTTTTGGGCAACACTGGATCTTAAATGAAAAGCAATCTTAGGTTCATTATTCACTGCATTTTCTGTGCCAAAAAGTAGGGGGAGGGGTTAATCTTTCCTGAACTTCAAGTTGTAGATGCCTACAGGAAGAATGAGATTTTGTTAGCCATTTCTCTTGATGTATAAATTCATTTATGAAAATGCAATCCAAGCACACATATTTAATGGGAAACTCTCCTTTTAGTGGACATATTTTTTGCATGTTGACTAAATTGGCACAATGACATGAGCCGGTTGTTCTGAAAGGTCTTGGGAGTTTGGGTCAGTAGAATACTTTGAATATGTTCTTAAGTCGTGTACATATTACAGCTTTATAAGTTAAGATAAAACAAATTTTCAATCCAAAGAACATGGAGAACTTTTTTTTTAAAAATCTGTCTAGTAAGTACAAAAACCTCTAAGTTGTTTCTGAAGATGTTGGAAAGGGTGTTAGATATGGATTCTGCTTTATTTCTGGCTTCCGTTGTTTTCAGTGAAGACATCTTACAAAAGTTTCTGTATTTGCATGTTGACCATATGCTTATTTGACAGCTGATCCATATTCTGTCAGCTTAAGATTTCTTGACCATACTTTGTCTAAATCTGTGTGATAATGAGAAATACATTTAAACGTGAGGTGTATCTTTTTGTGTGTTTGTAAAATAAAAAAATTTCTTATCTATTGTACTTGTATTGTCAACATGGCTTTAAAATCCTACTCTCCTTTAAGCGTAACTTGTCCAATGTTGGAATATAGACAAGTTCTTCTGATGGAATCAAATGCAAAGCAAAAGTTAGATATGCATAGATCAATCAAAATAAGTAGTGCTGTCCTCTGGCTGGGGGAGTGGTGAGAGGAAGTAAGATTTGATTTGTTTTAAATGAAAGCACAGGTTAGCCTGGAAAAGAAAAACTGAAGACATATCCTAGACAACATGTGTAGACATAACTGCAAAAGGACCATAGATGAGTGTCCCTCAGAAATGTTTTTAATATTAATCTTTTTTCTGAAGCTCTTAAAGTGCTTTCATTGAACATTGTGCAATGAACTTAGGTTAATGAGAGACATTTTTTTTAACTTCTTCTAACTATTTAGAATCCTAGTTACTTTATCTATTCAGCTGCAGCAAAAATACTTAACCTGTGGAGCAAGTTGCTTCTGTACAACCTGAGGTTAACTAACAACAGTGCAGTTCCTGTGCTGTTTTAGGTTCACTGATAAAGAATTGGACTATTTAAGTACATTTCCAGCCTCCCCTCTCACACTTACTTTGAGGGTGTAGTTAAAAGCTAAAGCTCTGCATAACACTTAGCAGAAATTATATTTAGTAACAGATTTTCTCACTTTTTTTCCAAATACTTACTATACATCTTGCTCCAGAACCCTAGTGCCACAAATACTCCTCAGCAGATAAAGGCAAATATTATTTGGCATTTAGCTGTAACTGCTTCATCTCTGTGTCCCCTGGCCCCACACTTCCTGGGTGCATGGTGATTGTTGCTTTCTTCTCTGATGGGGGGGGGGGGAAAAGAGCCAAAATACATGATGCACCCTTAATGTAAAGCAGCAGCAACTAGCTTTCTAATGTGCTTGGAGGTGTTTATTACACCTGACACTGTAAATGTTTACAACTTTCAAATGAAATATGAGTGATGCTATGAAATGAGTGGTATTCCTATTAAATGTTGTTCTGTCATGGGAAAGCAAAGAGCACTGTATATTTCTGTCAATCATCCCTTTTGATTTTGGGCCTTAGAACATCAGACTTCAATACAGATCTACAGTTCTGCTTTTGAGAACTGTTGATGCCAATTGTCTGACAAGGATGGCAGGGTACACGAATCACCTTTTCATTTTATTTCTGATCTGTTTGAGCAGTAGGATCTCTTTCTTGACTTAGGAAAGCTTCATGATTTAATTCTTTCTCTTGTGCCCTTGCTGTTGATAAAATGGGAACTAGGAGTCTTGGCAAAGGCTTAGAAATAAGAATGCAGACTAATAAGACAGCACAAGAATGTGCTACCTGCGCAAGTGAATTCATCATATGTAGTCCTAGTTTTCTCCACAACTATGAAAGGATGCAACATCTTGCCTCGTGTTGAAATCAACCTGGATATTGGTCATTAGAGCATATATTTCTAGATACTTTTACTAGATAAACTTGTCCTCTGTGTCTAGGGAGGAGCTGGGGGAAAGAAGAGGAATGGGATGGAAGGCTGGTTGGGAATGGGTTTCCCAAACTAGGAGGTTATCAGCAGTGGAGGTGTTAATCTGTACAGCTGAACACATGCACACATGTATGGCAACACAGTTGCCATAATAAATCATAATTCCAGTCATATTGGGGAAAACATTTACTTGAAGGTTATGTTAAGAGAACTAACAAGCTCTGGATGACTTTCAGTTTAAATAAGTGTAGTTGTGAAGTAGTCTTGAGTACATCTTAGACACAACTGGTCTGCGTTGTGAACAAGTCTGCAAGTCCTGGATCTTCTGTTTATTCTGCAGACTTCAAAGTGAATATTAAACACTTAACAAAACAAAAACACCCAAAACACAACCAAAAAAAAAACCAAGCATAACACACACACTACTGGAAGTATGCCAGTCTTCACTACACGGGGGGACAGAGCTTTTTTATTTCTCTAAAGAAGCAAATTTTTTTTTTTTAATCATGCCCTGCTATGACTACAGGCACGGAAGAGAAGAAACCTTTGTTGGCGAGCAACTGCAGGCCTTAATAAAGAACAAGGCAGAAAAATGATGCCATGGGAGGTATTTACTAGATATAAAATGTTCAAATAGCACATAAAAAATGACTAAACAGTATGTTAATAATTTCTAAAATTCCAACAGTTAAAAAATTTTGACGGTTACATGTATGCTACTCTTAAAGCAACTCCTTAAGTTTTATGAAAGGCTTAACTGAAAGAGCTTTCTTCTACTTGTAAATGGTAGAGGATATACAATGATTATTAGCAGTAAATTTTATAGGAGGCAAATGTTGCTTGAAGAGCACAAGTTCCAGAGTACTTGAGAATAGATTTTACCCACCAAGTTCCAGTAATTGTTTAGAATTTCAGATGCAGTCCAACAGATTACAAAGAAATACAAATACTTAACAGAAATTTTGTAACCTAGTAGATATATTGCGAAGGATGATATTTTGTTACTTAAGGTTGACCTGCTTGAAAGACTATAGAGTCCTCTGTCAGTGTGCCTAATGCTGGGGATGGAAGATGACCTGCATTGCTTTGTATAAATGCTGCCGTTTTCTTCTGTCTCATTCATTGCAAAGCATGTCTGAGCAGAGGGGAAAAAGCCACATGAAGTTAGAGATAAGACTAGATGTGTCAATATTTTCAAGAACAAGTTCTGCATGAAGGTGTGTATAAATGTATGTGTAACTGTCATTGACTTCACTGGGAAATCCTTGCACCTTATGGGTAAAACAGCAATCACAGTGGTTAAATTTAGTTCTCAAAGGCATTCATTACATCTGCACTCATATTATTGATGAGAAGGAAATCCTTCAGCTTAAAGAGATGCCAAAACATTTTTAGCATGGCTTAGCAATCTGTGTTTTTGTCCTCCACT